TCAGTAGCTGAACTATAATAAAATTGTGTTATCTAATGTAGCTTTATGTTCATTTAAATAGCGCTCTTTCTTAATATATTGTTGACCTGCAACTCTTGGAAACCAAAAATAAACCTTGTTATCAGATTAATTAATAATTATTTCTATTTCTTTTACTTAGATGGAACATAAGACCGCGAAATACACAACTTATACAAAGTGTACTTTGTAATCTTTTACAAAGATTATAGATGTCTCTTCAATGACAACTTAATATTATATATTTTATTTATTTTTTATTTTATAGCAGGGGGGTGACAAACGAACACACAGTTCACCTGATGGTAAGCGGTTGCTGTGGCCCATAGATATTTACGTATATCTTCGATTACGAATGAAAATGCAGATGCTTTGTCACCCGTGAGGACTAAGATGGAATCCCTCGTTTCCAGTAAAAAGGGTCTCCGGTTCTCTACACTCACCATACGAAACACAGCATAAATCTATTATTTTACGCTGGTATTCTGTGAGAGCGTAGTCCCTCCCTGGTCGAGCTCACCCATTCGTGCTACAACTGTATTACTACTAATATAACCGCAGCATGGCTCTACCACGTGTAAATATGGTCTCCTATATTTATTTGTTTAAACCCGATTACCATCCCACCTGGTCGTAAGTTGTGATGTAGACCTTGATGTTGAATTGCATTGTATTAGCGCAATAAGGCTTTTATTCTTGCCTTAATTGTAGGAGCATAGGTACTAGTTTTAAAGAATATAATAATATTGTGTATTTGTCATTGGATACAATTAATGTTAAAATTAGATAGGTAATAATGCTTTCAATAAATTAAAATAAACTACATTTGTCCACTTATAAAATATTCTAAGTACCATGAATAATACAACCTTAAAAAAACTTCTATAATCATATTAAATTCCTTCTAATAATATCCCGTGTTTTTTTATAGTAGAGGGGGCAAACGAGCATACGACTCACCTGATGGCAAGTGATTACTTGCCATCAGGTGAGTCGTATGCTCATGGCAAGCCCATGAACAGCTGCAACAGCAGGGGAATTGTAGATGCGTTGCCAGCATTTTAAAAAGGAATAGGCTCTTTTCATAAATCCGAGGTCCGAAGAGAGGAGGAGGACATGGAAAATTTCGAATCCGGCATCTTGTTCTACCACCGGGAGGCGGCCCGGCCAGGCGGACATCTGTACCAAGGAGGTGTCGAATTCATCGTAGTATTGTGAGTGTGTCGACGTGGCTTGCTTACCTCATACTTGGAATCACCAAACGGTATTCACTGAAGGTCATACAGGTTTTATTACAGGCACATCCCGATGAGGAGGTGGAGGAAATGTATGAGGATCTATTTAGAGCCATGCATTCCTCTAAAACCCACTATAAGAGGTAAATGACTTAAACGCAAAACTAGGCACAGAAGGGAACGGTAAGCTAAAGGTAGGGAAATTTGAGATAAGGCAATGGAACCCAAGGGGCCGACTTCATGGAGAAAGAGGGACTCTTTATGATGAACTCTTTCGCCCAGAAGCGGCCCCACAGAAAGTGTACGATCGGAGCTAAGTTCTGAAAGATCCGCCGCAGAAGAACACAAAAACTCCCCGATCAGACTTTTAATTAAATTTATCTCATGGTTGTTAGACTGAAAATTAAGCTGCAGTCTTCAGCAGATTTAACAACATACCGGCAACTGAACAGACCGATCTCCAAATAGGTACATGCGGCAGGACTTTCGCAATTTCAATACAGCGCGTATTGAAGAAGCAATCGAGCGGAACCAGGTCTCCAAAGTCTCGCCAGAAATCTATCTGCCACAAAGAGTCAACTGTTTAAGCTGAAGACCGAATGTGGCGGCGTCATTTCCGGGACATTGAGATACTATGGGCAGCTGTACACATCATCGTTGGAGCCACACGCCAGTGTGAATAACGATCCGAGAGCAAGTCTTATCCGACTTTATTCCTGTCGTCAGTCTGAGCGAGATTATAATGACTCTCCAGCAAGTAAAAAAACAAGCCCCCGGGCGAGGATAGAATTACAGCCGGAACTTCTGAAAGCGGGTGCGAAACCGGTACTTGAAGTCCTTCAGATAATTTTCAATTCCGTTCTCCATGGTGTCACTACTCCGGAGGTGTGAAGCATAAGTGCGGTAGTCTTGTTACTCAAGAAACGCGACAACGCTCTCTAGAAGAACTACAGACTGATTTCCCTTCTGAGTCGCGTCTACGTGCTGTTTTCGAGTCATTACGAATCGTCTCGCACGCAGACTCGATGACTTTCATCCTTCCGAACAATGCGTTTTCCGAAAAGGCTTTAGCACCATAGACCACATACATACCCTTCGACAATTTGTACAGAAGTCCGAAGAGTACAATTTGTCACTTTGTCTTGCGTATGTGGACTACGAGAAAGCCTTCGATTCCGTCGAAATTTGGGTGGTGCTGCAGTCCCTTCAGCGGTGCCAAGTTAATTGTCGGTATATCGAATTGGTGAAGTGTTTGTACAGCAGGACTACGATAGGCTATATATGATGGCAGGGTGACGTTATATATCAGAAACTCTTTACCGCTGCATTGGAAAACGTTTTCTATCTTTTATACTGGAAAGGATACGGTATTAACATCAGTGGCGAGTACATCACTTACCTACGATTTGCCAACGTCATAGCCTTTATGGCAGAATCGGTGGGGGACCAAAGCACTATGGTCAATGATCTTAATAGTGCTTCCCAACAGATAGGTCTTAATATGAACATGGACAAAACAAAAATCATGTGTAACGTCTGATGGTGGTTAATATAGCGTATAGCGCCATATTATAGCGCGCTATCTCTCCATAACGCATAGCGCGTGTTATGTAAGTGTAGTCGCCGTGGCGCTATTCATATCAAGTTATCAAGTGGCAATTAGTTCCAGCAGCAACGCTTTTGGGCAAATTTAATTTAGCAGCACGCTATTTATCGCGCGCGAACTAATTTAGTGTTAGACGTTGTTTAGTTAGTGCATACTGTATACTTATAAGTGATCGAAGGACACAGTTGTCTGCTACAAAAGAAGCCTAACTAATGTTTTAAATGTAAATAAAATATAGACACAGAAGTGTATATAATAGTGTTTTTAAATATTTGATTTTTGAAAAACTCACATGTACATAATTAACGCACTAGAAATTCAAAAGAAGATTTCTTAGGTTTTTAAAAACTACGTAATCAGTCGCACTAAATTCTACGGTCAAAAAAAAATTAAAAAGACGAACAAGAAATTTAAGAGTGCAGTTTTATTTAATCTTTAATAAAAATAAAAAAAAATTTATTTAAGCACTTAAAAGTCTGCGCGTGGATTGTGGAACCCAAAAAAAAGAAAAAAAAAAAAAAAAAATGGGGGGGAAGGGGAAAGAACCTTTAATTGATTTATAATTTATATTAAGGTTAAAATAACGTTTACATCAATTATAATAAAAAATGATTAATTTTATTATGTTTTAAAAAGTACATGCCTTAAAAATATTTTTAGGATTATAGAAAGTTGTAAGTAAGCCTAAAAAGTATGAAAGAGCGTTCATTGATATCTCTTTACCACTTTACTTTATTTTAATCTAAAATGCGACTTATTACGAAATAATATTCTTATATAGTACGCGGTCTATCCAAATGAACGACACATAATGTAGCGTGCTACGAGATATAGCGTGCTGCTAAACTTAACGCGCTTGCCAGCCTCCTACACGCTTTCTTATAAATAGCGCGCTATAACATAGCGTATTTAATAGCGCGCTTGAAATTTATAGTTTATAGTCTGTAGCGTGCTATTGATTTATAGTCGTTTTGAACAACTTTAGCTAACGTCCAGTCACAACTATGCCGGTAGTTGTTGGGAGCTCTAAGCTAGAAGTTGTTGATGAGTATGTTTATCTGGGAGAAATAGTCCGACTAGGTAAGTCTGCTGCGATGTGTTTAACTCGGTTAGGCGTCAAAACGAGATTGTATAACCAGTAGACATGGGTGCCGCCCCCAAATATTGCGGCGGCGGCGTCCTGATGAATCTCGCTCGGCGGCGGCGTGGCTGATTTATGTGCAGTATGAAAATTCAGTGTAAAAAATCTTTATAAAAAAAGCAACAATGCAATGACTCACTTTATTTACCAAAAAACAAAACAAAACTGTTCAAGCAAGGCAACAAAATTAGTTTTCTATATAATTTTAAGTAGAATTAAAGTTAGAATAAAAATTATTTTATTCACCCTTTGTGGACTCAAACGAGATCTTTTTGCAGAAAGTACCATTCCAGCTACAGAAAATACCCTCTTACTTGGGGTACTTGTAGCGGGTACACATAGCAAAGCTCTGGCAAAGGTAGACAGCCAAGGAAAATGTTTCTTCTTTTCGGTCCAAAAAGATAAAAGATCCTCATTATTGATATCCGTAGATCCAACAGCAGAAGCGAGATATCGCCAACATTCTTGGTCTAGTGGATCAACATCTTCAAGTCCATGACCATGACCAGCACTATGTTTCTTAGAGAGTTTACTCAAAATTGATGAGGAACTGCTGGTATTTAAGGAAACTGAAGTGTACGTTTCGTTTCTTTCACAATTTCCGGGCAAATCATGCGATTTTATAACTTCTTTTATATAAGATGCAAGGAAGGAATCCTTTGTCATAATGACTCTAAATATAAATGTAACTCTTTAAGACCCTTGATCCGCTTGTTCAAAAGAGCTGCAGCTACTATAGGTTTAGTAACAGGAAACCTTTTATCAATATTCGCCAACATGTTGCGTTTTAAACGAAACAGAACCAATGATTCATCATCATCAAGTGATTTTAGAACATCAATTATTTAAGAGCGAAATATAAGTGCAACATTCATACTGCAGGTCTTTTGGGATGACACAATTTCGACTGCTTCACGGAATCGATTTAAAAACTTTACTAAGTCTTCCAAAAGAATCCACTCATTTTGAGTAATTTTCAGCTCATCTTTTCCTACTTTTCTTAACATGTGTTTATTGGATCACGGTTGCAAACATGAATTAAACTCTCCAGCATCTCTAAAATGCTGTGCCAACGTGTGAGCGTAGCAGTCTTAATTGACGGAATATTTCTAAAATTATCAGCTGTCATAAGTGACATGTCTTCTACAAACCCTTCGGTGCTTGCTTCTGTAGCTATCTGGGAATTGCTCTGTAAAATGGGGTTACTCTCATCAATTTCTAGTTTTTCTACTACTCGTTCAACACTATCCAAAAATTCTTTCTGCACCTTTTCTGCTTCTAACTCCACCTCTGGTAACCGGTAGCGCACAGTCTTGACAATTTTTTTACATTTATTAACCAGTTCTTTTACTTCTGGGACAATATCTATACCATCCACGGTCACAAGGTTATGAAGAGCATGTCCGACGCACAAATGGTGCTCCTTGTTTCCCAACGAAACTTCCCGTTTCACGTTGCTGCCAGCATCCGTTACAGCGTAGATATTTTTCGCATCCAGTCCAAATTATTTCTTTACGCCCTGGATCTTTTTCCTGTTTTTTTCCAGTCACAGTGTGAGTACCCAGAATCAATGACTTCAGTTCAAAATCTGCAATCAGTGATATAATTAGAATACATAAGAAATAGAATAACATAATTCCGTTTTAATATCATGCAAGAAGATTGCTCAGAAAAAAAAAGAACTTCGAAGTCAAAAGCTAAATTGGTTGCTTGGCTGAGGAAAGAAGCAGCATGGACCTCTTGATATTTACGTTAAGTTTATTTTTTTTCAGTGTATTCGTCTCTTTATATTTTATATGAAAATTGCCTACCAGCTGTAAATAATGTAGAGTAAACGTAATATAATTCAGTTTCCTGTATTGATCTGTCCGTAAATCAAAGGTAATACCACAGTGTCGAGGCGCGTCCATGTGGATTCTTTCTTTTACGTTGTTCAGAATGCACTCGTATACATCGGACAGCGCTGTACTACTCACAGTATATCGTGACGGAACGTCGTCTTCATTCAAGATGATGTCGTATTTCTAAAATTAAAGAAATGCTTGAGTTCGGTGAACATAATAAATGTTGTGTGATATTAGAAAAAGAAAGGCATTAAAAGTAAATTACTGAATGAAATAGATAGGTAGGTAGGTATCTTAAAAAAATCCACTATCCCTTCATCAGAAATTGAGTCAAACGGAAGCAAGATTTGGAAAACCAAAGAGCGACATCTCTAGCCAGTAGCCGTTTGTCATGTTTCGGCGTGACTTTAGCAATTTTTGAACCAGAAGCAGTATAAGTTTTAGCAGGACGCTTAGCAGTGAAAAAGTCTTTGAAGTTAGTTTTGGCTTTATTAGCAGAAGCAGGTACATCTCGAATGTCATGATCATCTCGTAGGTGACGAGTTAAATTCCCAGTACTGACTGTTTTACTATATATAAGACTTTATTTTAACACTGTAACAAATTAAGCAAAAAGATAACATGCGAAAATGTTAAATCTAAACTCAAATAAACTATTCTCAGATGTCAATGTTTTAAATTAGAAATTAGATAATAAAGTAGGTATGCTAATAATAAATTTGCCAATAAGTGTTTTACGCCTACGAAATTTGTTATGTTTGATTCAAATGATACGTTTGCTTCAGCGATAAAACTAGGCATTAGAAAGCATTGTAATGTAAACCATCATGAGTAATATAAACTTTGATAATTGATAATATTTATTCATTTAAACTAGGTATGTAACAAAAAACGCGATTTTTTAAAACATATAGAGTAAGAACAAAGCTCACTTTTGCAGGAACAGGCAAGCATAAACGAATTTTAAGAAATTATTGTAAATTTGAGGTTAGAAAAAAATAATGAAACCTAAAAAAACATTTTTGTTTAAAAAGGTAAAGTACTTACGATCTAAATGTCACGCCATCACCATCACTTTCAGCTTGAACTGCTGTGAGACAAGCTGAGCAATATACTTGATCAGGATTCAAAATTCTCTTTTTGTTATTTTCTTCAGTAAAACAATATTTCAGAAGTACTTCCAACAAAAACTGCTACGAGTTTTAGCATCAAAAAGCACGGTTACAGAAAGTTTATTTATACTTATATTTAATAAACCGGTCATTTTAAAATGAAACAAAAAAATCCCGAAACAAAATGGCACGTGCTAGCCTCGCTCACGCCGCGCAGCAAGTGGCGACGGTGGCGGCGCGCGGGGGTGACGCGGCGCGGCGCCCATGTCTAATAACCAGTGCGTAAAGCGTAGTGATGACTTATAGATCTGGGACGTGGTCTTTCACTGTTGGCCGAACGAGGAAGCTCAAGGTCGCTCAGTGAGCTATGGTGAGGGCTATGCTCGGGGTTTCTTTGCATAACATACTTAGAAATGAGGATATCTGCAGTAGAACCAGAATGACCGACATGCCCCAACGGATTAGTTAGCAGAAGTGGCAATGGGCCAGCCATATAACTTGAAGAACCGACAACCTATGGGGAAAAATGGTTCTCGAGCGGCAGTCTCGTACCGGTAGCTGTAGGGCGCCCCCTCTACTAGGTGGAGTGACGACCTGATAAGACGTGCAGGATGTCAATGAATGCAGGTGGCTCAGGACCGTGCTTTGTGGCATTCCTTGAGGGAGGCCTATGTTCAGCAGTGGACTTGTGAAGGGCAGTAATGACGATAATAATTATCTACTGAATCATAGAGCCGGTACTATCCGGCAGTTAGGGTCTCAACCTAACTTAACAGGCCTGTTGGTCTAGTGGTTAGTGACCCTGACTGCTATACCGGAGGTTGTGGGTTCGATTCCCACCCAGGACAAATGTTTGTGTGATGAGCACGATCATTTGTTCTGTGTTTGGGTGTAATTTATCTATAATATTTATGTATTTAGAAATATATAAGTATGTTTATCAGTTGTCTAGTACCCATAACACAAGCTCTGCTTAGCTTGGGACTAGATGGCGTTGTGTGATAGTTGTGGAATATTATTATTATTATTATATTACCTACAAACATAAGCACAACTTGCCTATGTATCTAAGGTTATAACCTTAGACTATAAGAAAGCCTTTGACTCCGTCGAAATTTGGGTGGTGCTGCAGTCCCTTCAGCGGTGCCAAGTTAATTGTCGGTATATCGAATTGGTGAACTGTTTGTACAGTAGGTAATTTAGGTTAAAATAATTACCCCCAAAGTAGACTAGAGAAGTTCCCCTAAAGTTCCCCCAAAAACAGGCCGATTAGTATGTTGTTGAAATTCACGTGCCAGTGCTCAGTGCTGACAACTAACTGCAAATCATCACCTTGGCTGAGGATTCTGTTAAGCATTGTGATAAAATTTAGTTTATAACGAAGCGCTATTTACAAATTTTAACAGCTGCCATAATTATGTCCTCTAGATTGAAATTCGTTTACGGCGGCAAGTCCTAAGGGAGACTAGCTATGTGCGAGGATAGATAGGCAAAGACGTTATCTTTATTCTCTTACCCTCATAGTCCATTGAGACGGTAATCAGACACGACCGGAGAGATCAGACGTAAGACCAACGGATTTACGTGCCATCCGCGGTACGGGGGTGAAACACTGCTACTTTATTCCAAATTGCTGCTGAAAATTTCTCATCAGAAAAATCTAATAACTGTTTTATTTCGTCACAGATTTGAACACTGACTAACGAAGTATTCCACGAGTTAAACATTACACTGTCGATCTACAAATACAAGTATTTTATTTATCACATTTCTAGTTACGACTGTACACGCAGTAATAAAGTTTTGTATTAGGTTAAAAACATTACATTTAAGAAAAGTAACATTTACATTTAAAAAAAATTTATTCGTGTAATTTTTTTATTGATAACACTTTATCAAGTTTTCACTTATTACAACTTAACATATAAAAATTAACGTAAATTAGGTTTATTTAAAAAAATACGTACATATAATAATTACATCCAGTTATGATTTTTTTAAACATCTTGCTTTATATTATTATATTGCCGCACTATAAAAAAAACAGCTTAAATCAGAAACGACAAAAAGTCTAGCGATTTCAATTTCTTATAAGTACTATATTATGACACCATAAATCAATGGATAATTATGAAATGCGTTACTGAAAACTGATGAACACCATAGATAAAACAGACAACAGTTAAATGTATTATATGAAATACAAGATGCTCTCGTGATTGATTAATTATAAATAAGAAAATGATAAAATATACAGCCCTCATTCTTAAAAAAAAAACAAGTATAGTTAATTCTCCTACATAATAACCAAAAACCTGATTGTTACTTAGGTATAATGAAACTTTATCAATGGTAATTGAAATTGAAATAGTGTGATTATTTCAGAAAGTATTAATATTTTTTGATATTATATAAAAATTGCTTTATATAATGCTTGCTTAATGATTTAAAATCTAGTACTAATTCGACAACATAATTTTTAAAAATCGTTACACATTCCAACATAATTTTCTTCTCTCTTATCTATCTTAGGCCAGTTTTTGTATGTCCATATGTAGGTTTTCTCTCTGTATGTTATTTATATCATGAATGAAACCACAAACAGGCTTAGAAATTTTTTAAGAACGAAAAATATTTGTATTACACCTAACATAAACACTCACGCCTGTCACCCAGAGGGGTAGGCAGAGACTACAAACTTCCATTTGGCACGATCCTGACACACCTCTCTCGCCTCCTTCACATCCATACATCCACGCATGCATGCTCGTCGGTTAAGGGTACTCCTAATTTGGCCCGTTTTCAATAAATCGCCAATTTGGTCGATAAATTTTCGCCTAGGACGTCCCTTTCCGACTCTGCCATTCACTTCTGCAACATAAATTTTCTTTGTCACTCTTTCCTCATCCATTCTTTCCACATGATCAAACCATTGTATTAAACCTAACCCACAAATCTAAGTTTATAATGAGAACACAAATCAAAACCGATAAAATTGCAAAATGTAGATAAACTATATTTTCAATATAAATATAAAGTACAATATTTTATAATAGAGCCAATTTAATAGATCACATAGATCACATTTGACACTACATCAAAATTCAAAACGTAATCTTGTAAAGGTGGGCATAAAATAATATTTATTTTTGCTAAGAACTGCACAATTGCTTAACTTTTTTCAGCTATGATTACATGTTTATTGTAATAATAACAAAACAAGGTAATTTTACCTGGTGGTCCCTACCACTGCCCTTATAACGCTATCAAGATTATTTGGGCACAAATAAAGGGTCATGAAACGCAAAACAGAAACAGTACTGCTGTACTGCTGTAGCTGCAGCACTGCTAAAATGCTGACTTTGCTACAAACTGCGTGAGAAGTCACTACAGATGACTGGAGAAACGTCGTGGAGAAAATAAAGGAAATAATTTCACAAGATTTTAAACGAGATGTGAATATAGACAATATAATTAAAATGAAGCAATGATGAAGAAGACAATACTAGTTACAGTTCTGATAGTTCAACTTAACAAATGCTATTTTTCGCTAAATTATGTATTTCTTATTTTGTTCCTTAAATTTACTTGTGCTAACTTTTTTAAATAAAAATAAATTATTCAGTTAGTAGAAAAACTACTTATAGGTAGAGGAAAGGTACCAATTATGGAATACGTTCCTAATATGGAATACCGGAATATTTCTAAAACTAAGCACTACGAATATTCCAAACGCATGTCATGTTACCCCTCCCGCTACCAGCGCAGCGTTCGACGGGCAGTGCGTGCGGCGTTCGGCGGCACTAGACGCGAGTGAGAGTGCGCGACGCTGTTGACGCAACATCAATCGGATAATTACGTAATTTTTACGCAAGTGTTCTCTTACTATTCTTACATGAATATCTCAAAATAACTTGAAAAGTGTCTAAACAAAATATTATGTAGTTTTTAAATGGTATTGTTATTTTGCGAATATTTAACTAATAATAAAAAGTTACTTCTATTTTCATACCGCCATCATATTGTTCGTAATATGAAATATCGTTGAGGTCCTAATATGGAATACCTCGACGTAAGCAAGGTAAAAAAGGTGTAATATGGTGTCTGATTACTATTTCTCTCTCTTACAGATATATTTGTGATCAACATGGCCCCGCCGGTAAAAAAACGAAAAGCATGGGACAAAGTCAATATGAAAAATGCTATTGAAGCCGTGAGAACCCAAAGAATGGGTTATAAGAACGCAGCACAGGTCTTTAATGTACCTCGGACTACCCTTTTTCGGTTCTGTCATATCAACGAACCAAATATAGACTGCCGCCTTGGTCGTAAAACAGTGTTGGGACACATTCGGGGGGGGGGGGACACATTGAACATATATTAGTACAGTATGTCAAGCAAATGGAAAAACTGTATTTTGGGCTAACACGAAATGTTGTGAAGAGAATGGCATATCAGTTGGCGATAAAAAATAATTTAAACATCCTTTTAATAATAGAACAGCTGGACGTAAATGGTTAAAAGGGTTTTTAACAAGGCATAAAGAACTTTCTCTGCGCCAACCTACAGGTACATCATTTGCTCGGGTTAAAGGCTTTACGAAAGAAAATGTTAAATCCTTTTTTGATTTACTGGAAAAGGAATTTGAGCTATTTTAATTTCCACCAACTAGGATCTACAACGTCGACGAGACTAGGCTAAGCATAGTCCAATCGAAGACACCCAAGGTTTTAGCTACGAGGGGTAAAAACAAGTCAGAGCCCTAACTTCTGCGGAAAGAGGGTCCCTCATGACAGTTTGTCTTGCAATAAGTGCAGCTGGTGACTTTGTACCCCCGCTGATCATTTTCCCACGCAAAAAGACGAATGTTTTGCTCATAAAAGGAGCACCTATTGGTGCTATTGCACGATGCCATCCGTCAGGTTGGATCCAGGCGGACACCTTTCTTGATTGGTTTAAGCATTTTATCCAGCACACAAAACCTTCAAAAGAAAACCAAATCTTATTGATTTTGGATGGCCATTACAGCCACACACGCAACATAAATTTTATTGACTTGGCATGTGAAAGTTTTGTTACTGTTGTTTGTTTACCTCCGCACTCAACGCATACGATGCAACCTTTAGACAAGACAATCATGGGCCCTTTAAAATCCTACTACAGCGAAGAAATATGTCAGTGGCTTTTAACATATCAAAGACCTCTTAGTCCTTACGATGTTGTGGAAATATTTGGCAAGGCTTATTTAAAAATTCACAACGCAGAGTTGGCTATAAATGGGTTTAAGACAACAGGCATTTATCCCCTCAACAGAAACATTTTCACAGATGCCGACTTTATAACTGCAGAGGGTAAATGTACTGTTCACGATATATCTATACCACAAAAGCCAACTCTTGGCATAGAAAATGTGTTACCCAATAGCCAGCGTTCAACCACACCCACCAAAAATGAAAATATTTCCCAAAAAGTACTTATTACCCCTGAAGCCATTTTACTTTATCCTAAATTAAAAAGAAAACCGTGGCAGAAAAGCTGGCAAAGCTTGCAAAATTACATCGTCTCCCTATAAAGCTCAATTAGAAGTTAGCTTGTCAAAACAGCAGCACAAGCAGCAAAAACAAAGTATTCCCGAGCCACAGCCATCAACGAGCGGATGTCAGAAAAACAAGCGAAAGAAGAAACCAGTGTTGGGGTCTGAATCATCTTCTGATAAAGATACCATATCTTTATCTAGTGAATGTAGTGACGATAAACCCATTGTTCTTCAACCTAACGATCCAAATGCTGATGCTGAGTGCATGTATTGCTTTTCAGTGAAGACAAAAAGGGAGAAGAGTGGATTCAGTGCATTGCCTGTAGACAATGGAGTCATGTTGAGTGTTCCGGAGCAGAATATCCAGATTTGATTTGTGATTTTTGTTTACAGGGTTAATTTCATTATTTTCTTTTCATTAACGAGATGTGACCCTATTATGGATTACTATTCCATAGTAGGGTCACATTTTTGGGAGGCATATTTTATGGTTGATTTATTTTAGTTAATAATATAACAGATTTTATTTTTTGTTGATTTAATTGTTATTTTTCAAGAGTCATTATGACTGCATTTAATTGTAACCTATGAGACTGATTAAAATAAAACATTTGTACTGATTTTTTTAGGAATTTCTTTAAGTATTCCATATTCGGTCCTTTTCCTCTACTGTAATTTTACTCACATATCATTGTCAACAATCAACAACCAACTGTTCATTAACTTTAGTCGATGTTTTTAAGCGGGTCACCTCGCTATAAAGCTAAAACTGACAGATGTCAAATGTGATCTATTAAATTGGCCCTACTTTAGTTGTGTGTGAAACATTATTAACTTTGTATTTAATTGTGTGTTTACACTTTTTGCAATAATAATTATATCAGGACTTTACTTAACCTAATATTGATTATATGGGAGATTATCAATTGCATGTTTCTTTAGCTTATGTTTCTTAAGATATTTGGAGTCTATAAATGCTTCACCACACAACGAACAAACATATGGACGTTCACCAGTGTGAGTACGTAAATGTACCACCAAGTTACCTTTTAGAGCGAAGAATTTCATACAAACTGAGCACCCAAATTTCTTTTCTCGAGTGTGAGTAAGCTGATGCGTTCTTAAATGTGTCTTTGTTTTAAACCGTAGCGAACATAGCTGGCAAGGAAAAGGCCTTTCATTTGTGTGAACCCGTTCATGCATTACTAGCATTGCATGACTTGCACAGTTTTTACCACAAATGCTACATTCAAAACGCTTAGGATTTTTGCCCCGCATATTCTTACCCGAGTCTGTAAATTCATTTGGATCTACTATATGCGTATTCTCAACGTGCTGCTCTAATGCTGACTCTACAGAGAACATCTTTTTGCACAAGGAGCAAGCATAGCCCAAAACTTTTCCAAGATTTGTCGTAACCTCTTGTTTGACTGTCTTCATTAATTCTTCTTTGGCTTTTATGACTCTGCTTTTGCTGCAATCATTTGACTCCCGGTGAATTGCCAAGGCTTCTTTATTTTCGAAAGTTTTATCGCATTGATTGCATGAGAATGCATTCATGTGAGTTAGCCTATGTGTCTGCATGGTAATTTTCTGATGGAACCTCTTCAAACAAATGTCACATTCAAACTCTCTTATATCATTGTGTATCATCATATGACGTTTCAAGTTGTTTTGATTGGCAAATGTTTTGTAGCATATATTACACCGCGGTTTATTGGTGTGACCATACTTGATATGCTGAGTCAATGAATTCCGTTTAATAAGTTGATTGCAGAATGGACATGTCACCAACAATCCTGTGACACTATGTAGAAGCATGTGACCTATCAATATTTCTGAGGTCTCAAAACCCTTCCCGCATAAATTACAGAGGTGTTCTCCTGCAGGATTATGTTTGTGTTGGTGTTTTTCATAATCAGCCAAGTATTGAAATTGTTCACCACAATCACATACCAAAGTGCCATCTTCTTGTTGCAGTACTGTTGTTATTTGACTATCATCTGCATATTCAATGACTAGTTCAGACCCCTCACATTTTAAAATTTGGAACTGTGATGAATCATCACCTTCACAAAAGAAGACCTCTTCTTGAGACGTAGCTTCCCCATCGCCAGCAGAAACTATCTGTGGATTAGTTAAATATCTAATATCACCGTCTTCACTCTTGACCATTATTGTTCTTTCATTTCCTGATGCTGTAAGTATTTTAATCAAGTTTGCATTTGCTGGCATTTGTTCAACAAAATTGTTAATTGTTACTTCACCAGAATTATTTTCAATATCAATGTTTCCTTGTGCTTCTATAATTTGTGGTAGAACTATTTCTTGAGTTGTATTCACAGCATCTTCCATGTCCATACCCTGAAACTTTTCGTCATTCTCTTGATTCTCCTCTTCGTTTTCAAGGATTGTAGCTGGAACACTGTCAGGAACTTTAGAATTTGTCATTAAAAAAGATTGAAGAGAATTTTCAAAATCAGTACTATTTTGTTTTCCTTCTTCCTGATTTGAGTCTTCATTTTTACAGGGTATGTCATTAATGTTTTCACATTTAACATTTGCATATTGGGTTTCATCAGAATTTTCTTTTTCTTGGTCTTTTGGATCATCTATCACAAGCACATAATAGTAATCATCATCACTATCCATTGGTTCAGCCTTTATTATGTCCTGCAGTTGTTTCATTGGATCATCAGACACATTATTAACTTCTTGATTATTTATCTCAATTATTTGCGGTTCTAAATACTTTGTAGTATTTTCTTTATTTTCGGTTAGTAAAGTACTTAATTGAACTTTCAACTCTTTATCCATCTTCATGCATTGTTTACGAAATAAGTACGCTGAATTCAGGATTGAAAAACAATCTTTGCAAAGTTTCTGAGGAAGTCCATCATCTTTTTTTACCTGTAATTGTTTTAAGAAAAATTATATAAACAAAATGATTAGATAAACCGTGTAGTGGTAACCATGTTGTGGCAGTGTAAGAATATCTACTACCTAATATACCTAGTCAGGTCATAAGTATTGTCACACAGTAAAAACTTTTCTTTTAGAATGCTGGCCACAAAAAAGTTTATTGAATTCGAATTTCGAATTGTTCATGAAAATAAAACTGTATACTTTTTAGAATTTTACTCATTTCTAAATATGGAGTGGACGCTTAAAAAAGACCGTGTTGCAGTTATTGTGTTGCATTGTTGCGGTTACGCGCCAATTCAAATTTTTGACATACTGAAAAATTTGAATATAACCAAAAGATTTGTTTATCATACCATCAAACGATACAATGAAGACTAGTGTAGATGACAGGTCAAGAATTGGTCGCCCTCGGTCTGTTAGGACTCCAGCAGTGATAAAAGCTGTGAAGTCGCGAATTCAAAGAAATCCCAAACGTAAGCAGAAACTGTTGGCCCTTCAGATGGGGTTAAGCAGAACCACAGTGAAAAGGGTGTTAAATGAAGACTTAGGGCTTCTGGCATATCGAAGAAAAACAGGACATCGTTTGAATACTCGTCTAATGGCCCTGACTAAGATGCGCGCTTTGTAAAAGCGGTACGCGAAAAAAATACCGAAAATTCGATTTTTATATCGGATAGCTTAAAAAAATACGCATCTAATGAACTAAGCCTTTTAGGGGTATCTTGTTCAAAACATGTGAAAAAAGCCTTAAGAAATATTTTCCTATCTCAGTTATACCTCAAATCACTAAGAGTAATAGAGGTATATCAATATCACGAAGGCAACTAGCCGTATAATTGAATACCGCCAAATCTCTTAATAAAGAACAACACTTTTTCTAAGCCAAATAGCGGCAAATATGTACAACGAGTAAACTACTGACTTACCGCTATGACTCTTAGTATTACAATGGTTACTTGATCCGCAAATCATTTGGACTACATGAGATACGGCTGCAGTGGCATATAAAATTGGCCTTATGGTATAAACGATACGATCGGATTTCTAATACATTTTATGGTGATTTATTCGTGTTGTTGACAAATTCGCGTCATAACTCGTTTGTTTTCGTTGCAATTAGATCGTAATCTTGTAATTACCGTGTTAAATAAGTAAAGAATGGTGAATTAACGTATTTAGTGATGTAATTTTGTGTTTCGCGAGTCAGGTAAGTCCTGTAAACATAATTTTAGTACAATACAATCATACTCAACATTGAAATTTAAGGTTCTTCCAACTTTCGTTCGGCCGGCACTCTCGCCAAACGTACAAAGCGAAACGGAACTTTATTTACTACTCGCTGTCATGTCAATTGATTATACCTATTCCCAAACCTTTTTTATTCAGATTAAGAATTTACCAATTTATGGTGAATGTGTGAAACTTTTTGTTGGAGTAGAGTTACTCTACTTTTCTACTGTTAAGAACACTTTATTGTATACAAGAAAAATACAAAAAAATATTACCTATTATGTCAATAAAATTATTAAATATTTATAAACGAATATTGTTTCAGATAAACGATGTCACAAAGAAATACGAAAATGATGATGCTACTGGCACAAAAAAATAAGGCATTGAGAGAAAAGTTTAAAGAATCAAAATATTTGCAACTTAATATTCAAAATATCGATCCTGACTTTTTCCATAGCAGTGATTCAGATGACGATCTTCCATTTTCAAGATACGATAGTGTAGACCAATCACTGGCTCAGATTAATAATCCGTCAAATTATCTCGAATCTGTAGAATTTAACTTCGTATCGGGCCTATCTACATCAACTGCAGTTGACTATTTAAATCAACCTCAACAAGACCAGAACACAGAAATCGGTATTTCGGGCACATCCACATCGACAGTTGACTATTTCAATCAGCATCAACACGATCAGAACGCAGAAACCGAGAACAACATTTCCATGAACTCTTTGATTACATTAACGACTGTGCCAATTACTGAATATAATATTTTAACTGAAACATCGTCGCCAATAATTTGTTCTGATAAAGACAATGGTTGTAATGTAGATAGCGCTAGTACTGGAACTCTGGTCACACAGACTGATCACACACAGACTGGTCAGACAAATGATCAGCAAAGGCCCTGTACTTTTCAAGTTGACACAAACCAAACAATGATAACTGTTTTTGAAAATACGAATTATACTGCTGACCTTCTAACAAATAAATCAAGTGGGTCACATGCTGAACAAGAAAGATCGGTAGAGGATCCATTCCGAGGAAACGAAGTCATAAGGAGTGTTAATCTAAGGGACACTGAAAATCTGACACAAAATGAGAGAACTAATGATAATACACATGATCTTACAACTTATACAAAAGCAGGTACAATTAGAAAAAGAAAAACATACAACCAACCACTCAATGTTAGAAAAGACGCGAAAAAAA